TCACCAACATCCAGCTACTGGACTGCCACTGCGCCCCAGCAGCTACCAGATGGTGACTCCAGCAGCAGCTCTCACGAAGGCAGCTCTAGCTCAGAGGAGCGAAGCGTGGGTTTAGATGATCCTTTTCATCTTTTCTGGGTGCCAGCTCGTTTTCATCCCGAAATCGATCCGGGCCAGTTTAGCGCTTTTCTCAAGGAACACGCACGTACTCCGCCTCCAGATGGCGCCTCTGGACCTCTTCGATCAAATTCTTTGAGCATTCCTTCCACAGGTTTGGGACGCAAACGTTCAATGCTCAGCAGGCAGTATAAACCATCAGAGAATGACCAGGTCGAGGACGAGGATGAGAAGATTGTCCCCTCGCGCCCAAATCGCACACCTCTTGCAAATGCGCCACAGCTTACTATCAGCGACTTACAAAGGCTGGAAACACTGGCAGAAGAGGCTTCAAAGAGCGACGATCCTACAAAACTTAGGAACGTGCTCAGGCGAAGTTTAAGCCTTAATGTGTCTCCTTCAGGTCAGTATGCAGAATGACTTCTAGTTGTCCTTAGCATCTGCTCAAGGCCTTGTCTTCAGCCATGGACAGGATGGACGATATTCCTGACATGCCAGATGAGGCCGATGCACCTATCATCGTTCCTCCTCCCGGCCTAATTCTTCGTCGAGCTGCGCGCACTAAGATCCGGAAGACCACCTTACCTGGTGATGGTGGTGGCCATCGGTTTGGGTCCGGACGCAGGCCTCGTGCTGCTGCACAGGGAGAACCACGTACCTCCAGTGACCTGTCTTCCAGTGATCACGTCTCGTCAAGTGATCACGGTGATATCACAGAAACAGGTAGACGACCTCGTGCCCTTTCTAACGAAAGCATTACAAGTGATGGCCATACTTCACAAACTGACGTGCTCATAGACGAAACACTCATCCTTGAAGCATACCTCTGTGACGTACCTGATGGTGAAGCTCCTTCAATCTTATCGCTAAACTCCGAACCCCCATTATTATCATTTTCTCCAGCACGCGACGAGCCCCCACCGGCCCAAACCGAACCTAGCCCGGATACTCCCACCAATGCGATAGTTTTACATCACCCTCAACCACAGAGACTTACTCTGACATATCCTTCTGAAGAGTCGTCTCGAACGCCATCCCCCGATGCATCTACCTTGGCATCTACCGAAGCTATATCGACATCCAGCCTCCTACAGAAAACCCCAAGCCCTGTGCCGAAGAAGGAGAAGGACCGCAAGGGCCTGTTTAAATGGGGCAGCGACAAAGGCGGGAAGAAGAACGGCAAGGATAGGGAACGCGAGAAGGAAGTGCAGCGAGTAGAAAAGGAGAAGGAGGGCGGGTTCTTCGGGTCCTTGTTCAGCAGCAAGAAAAAAGGAGACGAACAGGCATCTCAGCCGCATCCATACGGGTCTGGGCGAGAGGCTGCTACTGCCTTACTTGGCCAGTCAAAATCCTCAAAACAATATGTTCCCTCGCCATCGCCACAACTGCCTGGCGGGCAAGGCGTGTACGCTCGATATCCCATCCACGTGGAGCGCGCGATCTATAGACTAAGTCATATCAAGCTGGCAAATCCTCGAAGGCCGCTGTACGAGCAGGTTCTCATCAGCAATCTGATGTTCTGGTATCTTGGTGTCATCAACAAGACGCAGAACCCCGCGACAACTCCTGCGGCACAAAATCAAACCGCTGCTACCGCCCCGACCGCGTCCAATCCTGAAAATGAACAGGTAGAGAGGGAGAGTGAACGTCGAGAAGCGGAAGAGAGGCAGAGGGTTGAGAATGAGCGACTTGAGAGAGAGAGGGAGATTGAGCGTGAAAGAGAGCTTCAACTTCAGCAGCAGCAACCACAGAAAAAGGAGTCTCAAAGGAGAGGCGCTCTTACAAAGCCCCCCAGCGGATCGCAAGGAGCTCGAAGGGTCGCTGAAATGCCAATCAAGGGTCCTCAATACGAGATGCAGCATAGAGAAATGGAGCAGCAGTACAATGGATCCAGCTACGGATATGGTTCCCCATCTCCAACGCCACTTGGTGGCGGTCCACCAAGGATGCAGCGACAGTCAAATCCGCCAGTCCATACGCCTCAGATTGTCCAGCCACAATCGACAAATTACATGTATCCCGGGTACTCGGGGCCTGGGGCGGCAGATCAACAACAGTTTCCACTTGACACCATGCAGCCTACTGAGTCATGGACTTCGCCATCCACTCCTGGAGCTCCGCCCTTGTCGCGCACGCGATTAACTCCATCACCCCCTCCTAATCATGCCCCAAGTAATACTTCCCAGCAAGCTCCTGCACGCCGTTCGCGGTCTCCACCGGCCCAAAATCATAATAGATACTCTGCGAATGCGTCACCCGCTGCTACTAATCGTGTCCAAGCCACACGGGCTACAACCCGCTCATTATCTGCGACTGCGACTACGGGTGCTACTCCTCCAGCCCTCCCCGCTGAAGCAAAGACCAGGAAGGTGGCCAGTGCTCATGCCGTTATGTCAACACCACACAACAGAAGACCAAGAGCACATGCAGAACCTGCACTTCCGCTTCGCACAGAGCGGGGCGAGGAGGAAGATGTTCCCTTAGCAGTGTGGCAACAACAACGCCGAAAATAATCGCTGGCTGGTTAATGTGAGTGCAGTTCTCTTTCATCGATACATTCTCTTTTACTAACGACGTGATTAAGTTTACTCTTCTGCCCCCCACTTGCTAGTTGCTTTTTATATCTCCCCGAGCTTGTAACCTTGACAATGGTTCTAGCTGTGTAAGATCCATGACGTTCAGGATATTTTTGGGATAAGTCGTTCACCCATCGGACCATTTTACCATACAGTACTACTGCTTTATTACCCCAGCATTACGTTGTATTTGCGTCGTTCAGCAGAAGCACCGCGGCATCTTCCTGCTTATACTTTCGTTGTATTCACAGTGGACTTGTAATCAAGGATCTATCAGAATTTGGACATTGGTGGATCTTTCTGATATTGGTCTTTTGGCGCAAGGAAGCTTTTCCGATATCCTTCAACGCCAGAAGGGGAAGGCTCATGTTGTCACTGCGTGTAGCCGCCAGAGCAGGTACTGGTCACCTTGTTCCCTCCAGCAGATATCATTCCACTAATCATCTTGATCTTCGGCTTCAAGGCTCTCACATGGTGCACTGGCTTGGAGAAGGGCTGTCTACTGACTTACTAACTCTACATAAATGGTCAGTCTGTGATATCGGACAGTTACTAGCAGAGAATCTGTGGTATCAGGTCGCTAACTTTCAGTATGAAGAGCTTTCCTCCGGTCCTCGTTACGAGTTTACTCACAAATCTGACACACCCCTCTGTTTCTGGTCTTACTTTTAGTTTGACGCTCCTTCTGAATGAGTGTCACGATGTACCTATGAGGATCATGTAGAGTAAAGACAAGGACACGGGGACACGGGCAGTTTTGCTTTGAATTTCCCTCGTTCACGAGTTGCAGCTTCGCGCCATGGATCCTACGGGATACTTCAACTTGGTCAAGATATCTTGGAAGGATACTCTTGTTTTGTGGAGCTCGGAACCGAGCTCCGTTCTTTTGAACAGTATCGCGGTCTGTGCCCACCCTGACGAACCTGTGCAACCTACTAGGATGGAAGCTCGCTCTCGTGGTGGAAGGACTCTCACCCATCCCTGCTTAAAACCTAGTACACCAAGGAATGCCACCATCCCGTGATCGCTGAAATTAAATAACTATATTCTTGTTGAAATGATGGCGAATGATTTTCTCATATATATATGAAGGGCGCCAGCGGACAAAATTCCCAGCGATTTCAATTCAGAGTTTCGACGTTTCGTTTCGCTTTCAAACACAAGTGATACGTTTTCGGGTGCTAATTTTCGCTTTACCGAGACTGATTTTCACGTTAAGTTTCGATTTCATGATTTTGATTTCACTTATTTGATTTCATGCGTTTTCAGTTTCGGTTTCGGTTTCAATGTCGCATTTTTGTTTCAAACTCCGATCGATGTCGTGCAAGTTCATTTGGGCCATTCGTGTCCCTTTCGTTCTCCGTCCCTTTGGGCTCTACTTGGCGGTGTGATGGCAAGCACTGATGCAGCTGACGAGGCTCCTGGCTATGGCCCCTTGCGGGTGGATCTACGTGAGATCCAGGTGCGCCCACTACTGAATCTATCATCTGATTTGCTGTCCCACATAGATTGTTTGTGCCTCCGCAATTTGTATGACCCCGACCATCATTACTCAGGTCCTGCACAATTGGGGAACGCCAGGGTTGACTTTCCTGACGTTTGCAATGAGCATGGTGTCCTTCTCAATGTGAGCAGGACAAAATTGCAAGATGGTGATGTCGTAGAGGTTGAAGTCATTTTGAAACTGCACGTTTGTTCCATTTATTTCCTCCGGCTTTCAGTGCTGAGATCCACCCTTACCTCGAGGCATATGCTTTTCCTTTGTCTCCTGGGTTTAAACCAGTACTTCTAGGGAGAACTACGTATGTTATACTTGTTATCACATTAGTTTCCGGTTCCGGCTATCTAACATCTAAGCATGGAATATGTGATCCCGCAGAACCGATTCGCGTCTACCCCATGTGTGCAGCTACCTTCCATTTTGATGAATTATGAGGCTCAAGAGAGCAAGCTTCGTCATATTCCATGGTTGTCATGGGTGCCTGCTAAGGTTGCACTTGATCTACAAGTGCTTGAGTAGCGGGTGAAAAAATACTGGCAAGTTTTTATGTAGGATTTTGTCCAGTGCAGATTCATCATTATCAGGGATCTTGCAGCGGGTGTGCGTGCATTCAGCAAGCACTGGGGTGCTTCGAACTATATATATCCCCTGTATCCTTCATGTTGCACTTTCGAGCTTCTATTGCAAGCTACCATGGATCATGGTAGCACATGGACCGCGGAATGCGCATGGATACATAAAATTTGATGTCTCCCATTTCTTGACATAACTCTTCATTTCCCTGTCGCTTCAAGGACATCCCAGACATGGACTCATCCCCCTGCCGCCAGTGTGCATGTCGTGGATATTTGGAAATGGGTGTAAGTTACATTCTGTGACTTTCAGGTATTTGGTGCTGATCGATCCCAGCCTAATGAGTGCGCATGTGCTCATACCCCGCAGGATCACACAACTGTGGCCCTTCCACCTCGTCGATGTGCATCTGGCACCTATTTCTCTATGGTGAGTATAAAGAATAAACACTAATCACGAAATTCATTTTATGTAGAATGAAAATCCGGCCACATATCGATCCATGTGTGCACTCTGTAATGGAGCGTATTACGTGCATGTCCCTACTCCCACTCAAGCGCCCATCACCCCAATTATCCACTCTGGTTATGATTCGACCATGGCAAATTCATCAAGTTCTTCATCTGGCAGTCCGGCGCTTGCCTGGTACATTCAGCCTCCTCCATCACCACTTTCCAGTAACACTGGAGCACCACCGACAACTCCTGCACCTCTGACCCTTCAACTGTGGAGTCCTCCCCATGCCCCTGCATCTGGAACTACAAATGACCGCCGGTGTGCCCCCCATGGGGTATCAGCATCTCCGCTGACATCAGTGCCAATAATATCTTCCCGGGCAGGCAGGTCCAGCAACTCAACCAGATCATCCACTGCTCCCAGGAGACAATTGACTCAGCGCACTGCTCAACCCATCAAGTACTTGGTGGTCATTCACCCTGAGCCGGTGAGTGATCTTTGAATGCAACATATCGCAAGGTTTTTTACTCTGGTACTTTTGTCTAGGTGTATGGAACAGTTACGACAGACTTTGATCGGCTGTTTCGTGAACTCCGGTGCCCTGTACCTCAAAAGATTGGCTCCTTTTTACGCCAGGCTGAGTCCCTGGGACTCTCATTCAAGTTTGAAGCGACGGCGCGCTCAGATGAATTGGCGGGACCTATTTTCGATATTCAGTTAACCAACCATTTGGATGGCAAGGGGTTTGTGTTCTCCCGCCCTCACAGTGCACCAAATACCAACACTGTCATGATGTCTCGATACACCTGGTCGTTCCTTATGACTGGAAAAAGTCAGCGATCAGCATTGGGTGCTAAACTCACCTCATCCCGGAAATCTGCTGAAGATGTCACTCACAAAGACTTGGCCGCAAATGCTGATAAACTCCCTGTACCGTCGCCTCATCATGATCACCGCATAGTGTTTGTTGGTAAGCTTCTCCCTCTGTTTCTTCTCCCATTCTTGATAATTGATGCGGCATCCAGTTCCTCTAGAGTTTATTGTTACTGGCCCTCTCAATGGACAGGGTTTGCACCTGTGTCTTGCACCTCGGCTCTGGAACAAGAACTTTCAACCGGACAATACATGAAGAGGACACAGAATTTACATGCGCCGATGGGTGCTCTGAGGTATGTAATGTCTTTTCTTGCCTGAGTAGGTGCTCAATTTATGTCTTCACCTCAGCAACCATCGGCAGATTCTGATATGGATTTTGATGTTCCTGATTTTGTGCCATTGACACCAGCAGATACTACCAATGTTGGGGTGTCTCTCTTCCTGCCAGGGCCAGTGTCTCCTGTTAATAGGGTAGTGCCCTTATCACCTCTACGCGTGCCTCAGATTATGTCCTTCGATGGTCCTGCTTCCTCTGCATCGTCTGGTCCAGATACTGCCACTAGTACCATCATGCGTCCCCCTGTTGCTTTGCAACCCCGTCAACAATCTCCCACTGCTGCTGTCAGCTGCTTGGAGAGGGAGAATAGCAGCTGCACGAACGACCATGCGGTCCCTCCTAAGTGATGATCCAGCCACCATCACCATCAGCGCAAATACTGCATCAGTTGCAGCCCGATCGTTTATTGACACTATCAAGAGTTGGTGCCGCCCAGAGGCTTCAATGACTGACGAGCAGTCAACGGGTGCTACACTTACTGGACTGACGCCGACAAGCATTGTCACTGGGGAGTTTGATGTCTCAATGTAGGTCGGATGGGCAGCTCTTCCAAAAATGTCGCTGACCTATTCTTGTACAGTAGCGATGGTGTTGGACATGGTGTACTTCACTCTTTCTGGAGCGAGGTCATCAGAATGATCACAGAAGACTCTGGGCATTGGCAAAGTACCTGCGACAGGTATTGGGTACCCATTGTGACCTCACTACCCCCCTGTGATGAAGATATTGTTTCATACCAGGCGTATGGAATTATCTTTCGGACTGCGATGCTTATGGACCTAGAAATCCTCCCTGTTTCTCCAATCATTGTATTGTTTCTGCTGAGCGACTACATCACAGCCACCACTTCGTCATTCACCACTGCCATTGCACCCATTGGGAGTCAATGTCTTCTTGCGTGGCCACCCCCTCTAGTCACTGATGCTGCAACAGGGCCGGTTAGAACTATCCATAGCACCTGCAACGAACTTGTATTCCATGATTCTGGAAGTTGACGCTTCCGCCCAGGTTAGTTTCTCATTCATTTCTATCATGACGATGTTTTCACGCTGCTTGGTTAGATTACACAGCTGAGGCGCCTTCCTGTGAATGCACAGGCCGAGCTTACCCACCGGTTGCGATGTCAGGTGTTCTTTGGCAACCAGTTTGCTCGTGGAACACCTGACCACATTGTATATTCATCAATGCGTCAGGCATTTGATTGCCTAATTGGCGACCGTATGACATTACGTGAGGTGTGTCCCTGCATTAAAGACATTCATTCATTGGCTCACATATCACCACTGCTGCGTTCAGTATTTCATCACTGAAGATTCATCTAGTACGATTCTTGAGGGAATGTTTGGTGGCCGCATTCTTTCCTCACCAGAGCAGGTTATCCACCTTCTTGTCATCAATGTTACCCCAGTCGGTGGTACCTTGAATGATATCATCGCACGATTCAAACTGCATCTGGAGCGCTACCTCCGTGGGTGCAGCACTCCTACTCAAAATGATGGATCAGATCTCTTTGGAGAAGATGTAGTAATTGATCCATTATTACGGACTCGACTCTTTCTCCGCTGTGTCACTGGTAGTGAGTTCCTTCCCGCGTGCCCCCAGCAACAGATTAGGGTTTGATATTTTATTTGCTCTATTTGTGTCTCTCCTTACTGATGTCTTTGAACAGTTGAATTTCCAGACGCAGTGGAACCATCATTGGCGTGAACATGTGGTGCGTCTCGTCACTTACTCTAGATTATCATAGCCCTTGACATCTACAATGACAAGGGAATCCACATCCACACATGCTTCTATGCAGTGGATGTGCTGTTGAATGAGCCATCTACGCTCATTGTGAACCAAGAAATTCTGGTGGACATGTCCATTTCCACTGACTTTGACAGGTGGATTCACTCCTGTATCAGTGGCAACGCCTTCGATCACTACAATACTTCTGTATGTCTGCTATCCTATCTGATCTGAGTCTTAAAGGCGCACTACTAATCATGCCTACATAGTAAATGTTACTCCTTGCACTTTTCTACTCGCACTTCAACAGTTTGATGGCTCCAATTGCTGTACTTAACTCATTCTTATGCTGTACTAATCTCTCGCATTGTTTCATTTGCATGCTGCAAAGACCGACCTTCATGTATCCTGTGACCCATAGAATATCACTACTGCTTTCTTCGTACTGACTTCCATACTAATTGCTACTGACTGTACCCTTGCACCATCCCAGTAATATTGTACCAGCTTCATTTTGTACCCTGACATAATTGTACTGCCCTGCAGCGTCAACTAAGCCTGCATTCTGGGCCTGATTGCACGAATAAGTGTCAATAGGTCAATGAGGACTTTGAAGCCCTAAACACTTGTCATACTGCTGTAGGGGATGAGGAGACGCCTGATGAAGTGATTCACCTGGCAGCTGGTCTCCAGTTTTCAGGGTTCAGAGTGTTGTTAGCACGCCATGGAAGGTCAACGATGCCGTCACAAAACATGAGAATTGCAACATCTGTGCGAGACGGATAGCTGAATTTGACTTCCTTGAACGTAATCTCCCCAGTGACTTTTGAAGGCTTTAGTCCTCCTGGGTTTGCAGAGTCGATATCAGGGACACGCTCGATCGTAGCGAATAGTTTGACGGCAGCACCACAGGCACGTGTAATGGCTTTAGTAAAGCATGATGAGAATTCTGAACCAAAAAGTAGGACTACAATTACCTTGCAATTCAGGCACAAGTATAGCAAGAGATAGTGATCCGGTTAAGATGACAAAGAAGAAGAGGAGACAATGATGGTCACAAACCAACTGCTATTTCTTGGATAGTCCCAGTGTGGTTCTGGGCCTGCAGGATGCCAGAGGTTCCCGCCTGAGGGGGCTACATGAGTTATTCGTCAGTGGTCGAGATGAAAATCAATGGAAGCCAGACTTACAGAGAAATGATAGACATCGTTGGTCAAAATGGTTGTCTTGCTGTTCTGCATTATGACTTGCGTTGGTGCTAGCAATTTCAGAGTAGATGAGGTCGCTCACATTGATATTGACGGAGGTCGCAGCGCTGATGACCTTCCCACTCTCGACCTGGGCTCCGGAGAAAGCAGGCCTATACAATATATAAGTGACTTTCAAGACTATTGATCCTGTCGATCATCTTACTGGGTTGTGTAGGTCGCGGTAGCCTAGTATGGACCTGGAAAGAGGGCTCATATGCAAGTCAGCAACTTGGCAGCAAGAGAATAGGAATACCCACCCGACTTCCCAAATTTGCTGACCCTGAAACAATTGCAAGGTTTTAAATAGTCCCTAACAGAAGTAGACGCACTTACTTCCAAACTATCGGGAAGAGTCCTCATAGAGGCCATCCAGGTTGGGACTCTAGGCGGGCATGATCGTGACTTCCTTGCCGAGGTCATTGCTGTGAAACATTGGGTGAAAATTTTGTGCAAAGCAAGATCACGGACACTCACGACTAGAAGGTTAAATTCCTGACAAAGGGTCGGGGTGACATTGTTTCGGATTGTTAAAACTCAAAGTGTACTGGTAGTTGAGATTGAGTGTGGATTGAAGAGCTCGAGTTCTGTGGTTAGAGCCTCCGCAAGCAGGCTTTTATCTTGATGTTCTCGAGGTGGTAGTAGAGGTGGGGTTAGGGTTAGGATCATGAAGCAGCGACAGCATCAGCCAGCTCCACGATTGCAATAGCAGCCAGGTGCCCTGCTTCACTTGAGGCGAGTGCAAGAGCATCGGCCTTTGCAGGATGCGTATAAAGCACCCCGACGCATCAAGCACTCGTTGATCCCCGCATGAAGCATCAGCGCTTCAGCAGCGTAGTACCCAAAATAAAATAAAATAGAGGTTTCCCAGGACAACCTTGGTGCTCAGGGACCGAGCTGCGCAAGTTAACAGCGGACGTTCACGGATCAGCGCCTGAGCAACTGAAAGTGTCCGTGTAATGCGGAGCCGTGCGTAGTGCATGTGTCGGCGGCTGGTATGAGCAGACGCTCAGTGGTACTAACTGAAGAGACAGAAAGACTAAGTTCGAAATTTTAGTTTCGGTAATCACGTGACTGTGTTTATTAATGCAAACAATGCGTCATTTATGAGGGACCGCAGCATGCGACTCGTGAGGGATCAGGAGAGTTAATGACGACCATCTGTGTATTCAGGAGAGAGACAACCTAGAAAGAGCCAGAAGCGAGTCCAGAATCCAACGTCTCTTATCGTTGGGTGAGGGCGTGACACTTGTTGAAATTGTAGCTGCAGTAGCATCGCTGGCAGCAGGTGTGGTGGCCAATGAAGAGGCTGTTTGTGGTTGCGAAAATGGTCATATAATTGTACGACGGCGGAGAAAGAGCTAGATACTCGAGTGTATGGGAAGTCCAGCAGGCGATGACTGTCATATAGTGCAAGAGTCAGCGCTCGCGCTGAACGAAAGGAGTTACTCAACGCATAAGAATCTTCGAGCCTAGAGATGAGGAAAGAGGACAAGTTGTTTTCAACAAAACCATAACCGGATGCAAACATAGCGTAGTCATCCATTGAGAAAGTTGCCAGGGGTGCAGAGGGAATAACACCACGCCGTTCTTGCGCAGACGAGGCCATCCGGACAACATAATCGTTGGCAAGACATTCTGGCGTCAGGCCGTTGGTATGAGCAGGACAAAAAAACATGGACATACAAGCACCCGCCTGAGGCAGGCGCAAGTAGAACCAGAGCTGCCTCTGCCTGAGGCAGAAGTGGTCAACTGTGGGTAGAGAGGAGTATCGGCCAGCGGAAAGAATTTTCCACGCATCAAGACGGCATGACATTTATTTTCTACTAGGGGTTCCAACTGTTGAGTCTTGCGTGCTGATATGTTAGTCAGTGTGAAAACATCATTCGTTTCTCAAGCGAATTTTGTTGTCGAAAACTCTACTCGATTGAATCCAACATGGTGTGCGTGCTAATATGTTACGACAGTCAGTCAAAGCCACGCGCCAACTAAGCCACAGACATCTGAATGAACTGTCAGAGCTGAACGGCCCACGTCCAGCCGTCATAAGAGTATCTTGGGGGGCGGGTGAGGGCGAGAATGCGAGGTTGGGTGAGACAAATAGCCTAGTACAAGAAACGAAGTCAGTACACATAGTTTGAGGTAGTAGGAATAAGAGGATAAAAGTTAGAAACCATCAGGCTTGAATGCTCGGAGTCGCCTCCTAGAGGCGTGTCCTCGCAGCCTGACGGCCTCTGGTCCAAGTCACCTCCTAGAGGCGTGTTGGACCAGGAAGTGAAGCATAAATCGAAAAAAAGAAAGAAAAAACTCACCAAAGTTATGATGGCCAGAGGTTTAGGGTGATGAGCGGGGTTGTTGATGGGACGGGAGAAGCGCCTGGCAGGTGATAATGCGAGGTGGGTGGTAATGTGAAGTATGTATATGCACCAGATCATAGGTGCCGGCGCACTGACCTACAGCACTACCAGCACCTCCCAGGTGCATAAGTCAAATAACTTAGAATAAAACATAGAAGTGAGCGAGCGCCCTACAGGCTATAGTACTAACTGAAAAAACAAAAAGACAGTTCAGATTTCTGACGAACGGTGTCACGTGACTTTCCAAAGTCAGCCGGCAAATTCCGGACATGCACACATAATGACATCTCGTAGATCTGCCGTGCGCGGTGTCCTCACACTGAAGGTTGCTGTCGTACATGCTTGCAACAATCAAAACGGCGCACTGTTCGATGTGAGCGCGTCATGTTGTGGGCTGGGAGTTATGAAGATATCTGGACGGCGAGCGCCAGTCCCCGACTCCGTTAGCATGCACATGGCAGTAGCTAAGTGTAAGTCATCATCTAAAATGTACATTCACTACATAACGCTAATGCTAAAAATACTAGTGGCTATCAAACCCCAATAACGAGCATCGTCAAACTCTTCGGTTATTGACGCCTTGCAATCATAAGTTACTCAGGTGAGCAAGTTATCTCTTTGTGCCAGTATCCTGACACGCCTGACCATGATGACCATCACCTGTTACCTTCCTAGTAGGTGCCACCTGCATCACATCACAATGACATTGAGCACTGCGTCACGACAATACTATAGCATCCCTAACACTCACCACAATCAACTGCGCCTGCTCCCTTGACACCGCTACCCTCATCGCTTTCCGAATCTCAAACTCAGGTTCTTCTGTCCCATCGAGTTGCGCGTACAACAGCCGTTTCGGAGCTCGTACATCGATTGTGCTCTACGAATATCACGTCAGCACAACGACCGTACAATAAAAGAGCGTGCTCACAGACCTGTTGAGTCATATCTTTCAATGCTGAGTTTTAACGTGTAGCTCTTGGTTGGAAGGCACATTTTTTTGAGACTCACACTTTTAAACCCAAGGATTAAATACTTCGAGAGCTGTGGGTGGGCTCCACAGCATGAAAATAGTCGTCCAAGCCAACAAACAAAAACTTTAGTGGCATAGTGAGTGGCGCCTATATGGTTAGTATTTCCTTTGGTTTCATTGCCCTGCATTTCTTAACATTATTCCTCGTCTCTGTTTCATTCTTCAGAGACTTGCCTCGCGTTTCAAAACCCGCACTTCAGATTCAACGCCGATGAGGCAGGGCCCTTGCGTCAAGAGCGAGAAAACGAGCGCGAGTGATGTACCGCCGGACCACGAGGGGTCGTGCCCATCCCCTATGGACACATGCACTACACACGCCACTTCCTCTACGCCTGACGACGTATATGACCCCGTCGACATTGTTGTCACGCGCACCATCATCTGCCCTGATTCCAATTCCCGTGGTGGCCCTCGTATGCTATCTCGCCCACAGATGGTGTTTAGGTGGATGTTCTCACGCTCGCCGTCTTCCACAAACACCTACTCTCCCTCTCAATCTTCTTCGTCATCTGTGTCACTGCGATCCACCCCTCCTTCACGCTTCGCGAGCCTGGTGCTCAGAGCGCTCAACTGTCTCAGCCCATCCTCAGCTTTTGATAGAGATGCGGATGATATGAAGGCGCACAGGACGGAGAGACCTATATCGTGCCGAGCAGCCCTTGACAATATGGAAATACACATGTAGGATGACCCGAACCCTCAAACTCCCTGTCTGGTAGCTCAGAAAGCTGATATATCAGACTCGAAGGCGAGTCCCTCTGAACTACCATCGTATCGATTATCATCCTCACACAATATCTACAGTCATCAGCGGAAAGAATCTTCAAGTCCCCTCCCAGTGGCGCATTCCTGCTGGCATCTACATATCCATCAATGTCGACTCCAGGAGGTGCTGGAAATCAGCCATCAGTGTCTTATCATCTGATAGATCTGTAACGTGCGGGAATTCTGTCACTCTGTAAAGTTCATGGACACTGTCGGGCACGATGCGAGAACTGATCTTCGGTTCATAGATCATTACACTCCTCGCCTGTGTTGTCAGTGGAGATTAGGGCGTCCTTGGTCGAATGCTAGGCGGTGGAGAGGTCATTGGCGAACTTCAGATGTCGTGGGATGAGCTGCTCGATTATGGAGATGAGCCATTTGGTGGGTGATTCGCTTCTCATTCGTGCACATACACTAATGTCCTGTAGATTTATCCTTCCCACCCGTGCGCGGTGTTCATCCTTCCATCAAGCTAAAGGCCGCCATTGTACATGCTTGCGACGGTCAGGATGACGAACTGTTTGATGTGAGTGACGCTAGTATCTGTGCGTTAGCTTTTGCTGAGACAACGCAAACTACAGTCCCTCGTAGACTGCGAGATTGCTCGAGACAGAGATGCAGGCCACGCACAATTGGCCGTATACATGACAAGCGAGAACGTCTCTGACCTGAACGACACTGTAGAGCACTTTCAGTTGGTTCTGGACCAGTGTCCGAGCGTTCGAGGTCGCATCCATGTTCCGAAAACCAACATTCAGACACCAACCATTTTCTTGTCTTGATCGTGGTAGCTTCAGTTCATCTTGCATGTAGTGTATATGACTTTCAAGTATTACTGGGTTCGGTTCTACTAGTAGAAGAAGCTAATGCTAATGTTTGAATCCAAAGTAAACGACGCAAGTGCATATCAATATGTAGACTTGAATCAAGAAGGGGCTGGATATCAGAAAGAAAAGATCGAAGTTGAGCATCTGCAAATGGACAACGGGACTCAGGAACCTCAACATGAGATAGATCAGAATCGGGATGATTTGATACAAATGGATTGGTGGAATCGCCGTCCTCCGGATTACGAGTATCATGATGAGCCCGTATGCGCCGGTCATCCAAGTCATTCCAATCAATGCCATAGCTGGCAATATCTTCTACCCCCTGGTCCTCGCCTGACTCAATAAACACCCCTCGATGTCCATGCTCAATGACACCTTGGATGAACAGGTCATGGGGTGACTGATGGGGCTCTCCACGACGCCCAAGAACATGGCGATTCCACGAGGCTACCCACTGGCCAACATCATCGTTGATTAAAGGGAGGAATAGGAAATGGAGTAACCACAGGTGTGAATCGTTGTTCACATTGAGGTTGTCGTAGGCTTCGAGAGTCTGGAAAAATTCCTTCCACTTCTGCCCTAGGCCATTTGTTACATCCACCCAAAGACGTTCAATCCGGATGTTGTGAACACTCCTGTAGATATAATTAGGACAGACTAGCAGACAGAGAGCTTGATAATGCTTACCTGCCCCAAATATATGAACCACGCTCGATGCCACGTACTTCTTCCATCCGGGCAGCAACAAGTAAATTTTCTGTCCCATGGTCACCTCTCACACGGCTTGGGTACCCATGAGTCATAGCAATATCTTCGAATAAAGAGAGTACAGTCTCAGAGCGGTTGTTATTACTAACACGCATCCCTAGAACATAACGAGAGAATCCATCGATGAAGCCATGGATGACTAGCTTCCAACGGATAAGACCTGTGATAAATGTTTAGTAATTTTACTACACTGCCCACACAAAACGCACCATGCTGTCCGTCATGATGAACCAGGGCCATGGGGCCTGGAACTGAATAACTACGACGCTGGATTCGCCGTGGACCAAATGTCGCAGGAGATGGACCAACAGCTCGCAGATATGATGCTTCTATACGGCTGCGAGGGATGCGGTAGCCAAGCTGCAAAAGATAGCCGTCACGCATCCGTCGTCCAAATGACGGAAACTGGTGGTAGAGTTCCAATATCAGTCTATCAAGTTCAGCATCAGATATCGTAGAGAGATCACTGGAAGAGCCTCGGTGGTAAGTTCGGTTAACAACACCATCAGGCTGCTGCTCATCCACATAGACGGGAGGTCCAGGAGGTGACAGATTGAATTCGAGTAGCCGACGACGAATGGTTCGGGGATGACAATGATATAGTTCGGCCAGACGCCTCCTTGACACTCTGCCCAAAGAGAGGACAGCGAGGTCGGATGGAATGATATCAATGCTGGGTCTTCCAACCGTACCACCCTGCACATGACTTCCTAGGGTGATGGGGCTTGCATCCGGTGGATCAGATGATACAGTAGTCACAGTGTCCAGCTCTTGAATCATGCGATCCACGCTAGCTTCAATTACAAGTCTTTCCCCCGGTGGTATGATATTTAAATGCTTAGATGCATCAGCCTGAGATCACGTCGTAACAGTACCACAATCAACTACACCTGTTCAATAGCTTCGAGGAATTGAAGGCAGACTGCCTTTTGAGCATTCAAGCGGCCTATATCACCAAGCTGTGTCCTGAGGGTGACGTGAACTCTTTCACCGAGTTGTATGAAAGAATCATAAATATTTGTTAATTGAATTGCCTCAGGCATGGTACAGATGCACTCCACGGTGATGGTCGGTGAACGAGGGTTACTTGATATTATATAACAGTTGGCTAGCCTACGATGCAGCGATGCACTCACAAGTCACGCTGACCTGCCCGAAACCCAAAGCCGAAAGCAAAGACTAGAATCAAAAGCAAAAGTCGAACACGAAAGCTAGAGTCAAAAGTCAAAAGTGAAGGCGAAGGCGAAAGTCGAAATCGAAATCGAAATTGGAATCGAAAGGCGAAGTCGGAATCGAAAGTCGGAATCGAAAGTCGGAATCGAAAGCCGAAAGCGAAAGTTGAAAGCGAAAGTCCATATTGGGAAACGAAAGCGAAAGTCGAAAGCGAAAGCCCATATTGGAAAACGAAAGAAATCAAGTGAATATTTTTGTCCGCCCATGTCCGTTATATATATAAGAACCCTGGCAATATGATTTCTACTTCAAGCAGCAGTGATTCGCTCATTAGCGCTTTAGCTATTGTCTAGTTATGTATCAGCAGTACCCCCGGATTTGATAACCTACATGGCAGATCCTTCCTTTCTGCCATGTGAGGCGTGTTTCTGCTTTCACAGCGACGCAGTAGGACCGCTGGCGCTGACACGCGAGTTACTATTACTAGTGATTAATTGATTGGCCGAGTTGATCAATGTGAATCAGAAAAACATCGGTCCACTTCCAGCTCTTTGCATAGTGGAGTTGACGTGGAATTTTCGTTCAATCAGGAAATGTCCATAGATAAGATGTGTAACGACACCCAAAGGAGGGTGCAGATCAGTCCACGGCGCAGCTTAATGCTGTCAGTGTGACATAGATGGGCTTGTAGATTGTACAATTAAAAGTATATATGCGCACAATGAACCCAACAAAAACACACCTATATCCCGTACCGTAGAGCCCCCTGCTCCGACTCCCGGCCTTGATCGTTTCAGCGACGTTCGACAAGTTCTATACGTGGATGGAAAAGCTCAAACTGCTTCACCGGGCGCATCCCAGTCTATTGATTCCTCGGCAAGATGGGATGATCGTCCCGACACGCCACGTACGTGACAAGCGCTAGTTCACCTATAATAATATTATGCGCCTGTAAAATGAACATTCGTGAGTACGTGCGCACAATACCAAGATGGCTGTCAAACATACCTAGTGTATATACCATACGAGTACCAACTTTGGCTTGTGACTTCCCACCCATTTCGACAACGACTCTTTAGAGGGAGGATTCCGTGTATCCGGAGATGTACTCCAAAATTTCAAATGAATTACCATACCCACCACGAGCTGCGAGCACCTCGATCCAATTCTGAATTACGTGGTGAGGCAGTGGTTGTGATTGTCCAGCCACTACAACACGATAGCAAGCGATTCGCCTGTAGCCTAATTATATCATTATATGTAAGTTAACTGTACGTGCGCACATGAAAATCAAAGAGTAAACAAATAAAAGTTGAAAACACACCTACAGCTATTGGCTACAGCTCGCTCGTATTTTCCATGCAATTCGCCAGCTTACACTTACACTGTTTTTAAATTCTCCAATACACTAATACCTTGGATATCAAACACAATGTAAGCGGGGCAGGTACTCGAGACGGTCGAATCGGGTCGATGGCTTTTGCTATTATGTAATGCCCATCGGACAGGCGTCACTCTTTCCCGCGGTGTGATCGTGACCTGCCTTTCCCCAAACGACAATGATGCAGCATGCTGAACGTTTGAACTCGGCCCATTCCTGTACTCCGAATCAGTACAGACATTTGTCGCGGCGCTCAGCGCTCAATATTCAATTGTTATCTGCTGTATCGCTTGGTAATCGTCCGCAAGCTTCAAGGTTTGTCACGGTCTGATACGCGTGGTTATATATTATAGCCAAGACGCACCTTCTGCACCAAAACCTCGTCTGACCATCAAGATTAATTTTCATCGACATCCCTCAGCAGCACGCCTTAGATCCCTTCAAGTCAAGAGTAGTGTCGTTTCTAATAGGAATTCTGAAAAATGGTCTATTGCAATTTCGAAAGCTGCAATCAATGTATACTCTGTCTTATTTCAACGTTCTTCTATCACCGCGGCTGATTCCATTTCCGATAGTTTCATTTGAATGTGTCGGTTGGACTGATGCTCCCGAGGCAAATTGATTCTGCAATAAGTGCAGTACTAGTGACCTCATGTGCATTTTCCCCCCAGCGGGTACCTCTTGATTCAGCACATAAAAGCCACCCGTCTTCCTACCATTTCCTCCTGAATTATCTGATCGAGTCACAAACAATGCATCTCTCCTCTGCAACTGCCCTTACCGTCGTTGCAGTGGCTTTTGCATCATCAATCTTTGCCATGCCCGTTGATGCTGGCCAATTTTGTCCCCTAACTTGCGAGCATAATTCGGCATGCTGCCCTTGGCAGGCGTGCGTGAGTATCAGTATTTTTTCTAGACTTGATGACATGACTCACCTGCATGGCAGGTCCACGATCAATACTGCTTATCATAAGGATATGATATCCGCTATGCGCCAACCACGACTTCCGAGCAAGTCCGATGCGAAGAGTAAAGCTCTTCCGAGACATGCGGATATACCCCTCTACGTCGTTGTCTTTTCCTTTGTACTCGGAGTTTACATTTCTCTTATCTCAGCCCAAAGTTTTAAACATCTCTATCATATCTCTATCATTCCCCTTCGAACTTGGAAAATGCCGAAGACACGATTGTGACACTGTAGTTGTGATTACCTGTCAGGAAGTTGTTACCAAGATGACTTATATTGCAAAACCCACCGGCCATGGTAAAGTTGACGAGAACGACAACATCTATTTGAGGACCAGCGGTAATGCACTGCCCTGCCCTGGTCATGGTTACCAAGGTGATTGCACACAGGCTCAGCGAGGACCTGTAGGACACAGCGAGCTTCAGTAAATCATCATTTTATTCTAATATCGAATTTAACATAATATATGTGTGTGGTGCATGGGAACAATGACTGCTGGCTCAGATGGATTTTGAATGTTTGGATGAGGTCGGAGGGTGGGATCGAGATGTCCTTGTTTCAATCATGATGCATGATGTATAGGGGTACCAGGACTCCAGGTTAACAACCACCAGATCCACACCAAATTGCCAAAAGATTGCTTCGCAGTCTGCTGGCATTGCAGATATTATGTGGCCAAATGTGGCACAGCCACGCAAGAAGATCCATCACTAATGCAACTTCGTATCTTATTTTCATCAGTTAGGACTGTTTTTGGCGTTGCTTTGCCATTCAGGAGACATTCAAAGCTTGGATAATCGCTTGACGCGAGGCCAGTAAGGCAATTCCAGTGGATAAGTTCTTCCTAAAACCATAATGAACGTTATTCAGCATATAAAAGTAAGGTATCATCCTCCTAATCCTTCAGATTTATTTGATCCCATACCATTTCAGACACAATGCGTTCCTCTGCAATTGTCTTCGCCGTTGTCGCCGCTTTGACATCATCGATCTCTGCCACGCCCATCAATGCGGGGACTGATCAATGTCCTTCGTCTTGCACGAGTGACGACCAATGCTGGGAATGCTTTTTCGGGCTTTGCGTGAGTATCAATAGTTTTCCTAGATTCGATACACGACTCACCTGCGTGGAAGAACCAATTTCACTGCAAAGTGAGTCGTATTTCTTCTGTCACATCGATGCAGTACGGGACGTGCAAATTGCTAGTGATTGGTCAAGTTAATCAACGTGCATCAAGTCCAATCATAGAGTTGGCGTGGAATTTTGGTTCAACTAGGAAATGTCTGTAGATATATATAAGACGTGTTGCTCGAAGGATACAGAAACAATACTATTAAAAGGAAGTCGTTGATCTGTTGTAATGTCAGTAACTCTTGCCCCTGCTGAATATTGAATCACCGAAGACAGGCCTGTACTACGATTATAAGTATATATGCGCACGATGGACCTTATCAATACACACCTAGGTCCCGAACCGTACAGTTCCCAACTCCAACTTTCGACATTGATCATTTCAACGACGTCCGACAAGATCTAGATACGCACTATGTGGACAGGCTGCGTCACATGGTATTTGAGTCTTAGCAGGCGAAGTATATGACAAGCACAGGATCGCCTATAATGATGGTATGCGCCTGTAGAATGTATCGTCAGTGAAGGTTCATTGGTTCGTTTCGTCTTGGAAGACTCGTGGACGGTTGTAGCATGTGTGACAAGGATATTGTCTGCAGTCTCAAGAAGGTTGTTCTGAGAAAGCAAAAGCAGCTAACAAATTGTGCCCGCACTCCTTGCGCCAGTAATTCATGATGATGCCTCATAGAATCTGCCTCATTGTTGCAAAAAGGGTGTAGTAGTCCGGATGTTCACATCCAAGTCGCGTTTGATCAAGTAGAGTAAAAAAATATGAGAGACTACCAAAAATAGATCCTGGATGAACATGGAGCCTCGAGGAGGGCTCAGACAAGGTTAAGGAGTGAAAGGATTAACGTCTTGGACCCATAACATTTTCGGACCTCGGATGCGAACATTGGTAGACTGGTCATATGCATTGAAACTAAGAATGGCTCGATCTGATAATTCATGATGTGATTAGGCTGATGAGCAGCCTGAGATGTTGGATAGTGATGAAGAATATCGAAACGGGTACTAGAGAATCTCAAGAATGGGGACAGAGGCAACCGCACCACCCTCGATGAAGATCGGATCCGTCGGGATAAGTCGAAGCGAACCGTGTACGACTACTGGAACCCTTCGGGTCATTATCCGGATCCGAATGGAGGCTGTTTGATAATTTTAACACACAGCCCTCATGATGTCATCTTCGCCAATACTTTTATGCAGGCTGGACCCAATGATTCCAAGTCGGAGTCGGACCGAATTGGAAAGGCTTCCAAGGGTGTTACTTACAGAAAGATCAGCGATTCAAATCGCTGTGGAGTCGACGGTGTGGTAGTTGGCATACTTATTGTGCATAGGACGGCTGGAAAAGTTGTCATCGTGAGACTAGATGTAATGGTTGGGGCAATTGTTGAAGACGTACGTGGGATACAAAAATGATCCTCTAGGACATGAAGGCGCGGGTCGAGTGATATCGTGAGAATTTGTCGTATAACAGGGGAAAGTCCCATTTTGGTGGGCCAGTTCTTGACGTCACTACAAGGTATGGAAACATAATAGGTCTATATCAAGCTCAGCGGCTCCGCTTCACTTATCATTTCCCTGTATTTCCCTACCAACTCACCCAGTGTTATGGCGAAGGCATCGGAGGACATGGCACAAAAACAAGTCACATCCCTCCTACAGCTAAAACAGACAGATTCAAGCACATCCCACGCACTTCAAACGCTCGATGACGATGTAGTTACGCCAAAGACTCCAGCAGATGAAGGAAAGCAGTTTTTTCTCGGTGAACGGAGTGCAGATGAGCGGCCGATATCCGTCTACGAGCTGAGGTTGGATCCCGATGGTGGGGCTAACAAAGACCGATCTGTGAGTGCTGTCGCTGAGCCATCACAATCAAGTTAAAATCATGTAGTATATCCGGCTTCCGCCAGCATATATTCCATATATTTTGCGCGTCTCTCTTGACGCGGGCACACCAGCTTCAAAGAATGGCGTATTCAAGACCAATTTTCCTTTGGATGGCGGCGTATTCGAACGAAACAAGTTTGTGGAGCGCAAGTGAGTTTCACGTACGTATCCAAGGCATACTGATTTTAAACCTTCCATAGGCTCCCCAGCGACTTCTCGAAACCTATTCAAGTGGATTTACCTATCTCTCATGCGGGAGCATTCAAGTATTGGGTCGAGTACGATGGTGAAGTTCCTGGAGAACGTGCTAAAGGGAGAGAAGGTTACTTTAATATAGATCCAATCTTGCGCATCAAAGCGCGATCCTCAATTCTTTCGTCAGACTTAAAGCCACTGAGTCTTGCACAGGGCGGCGCAGTTGTTTCACCGGAGATCGTGTACTTACCTCTGGACGGCCTGGCTATACTCACCATTGTTTCGAAATGGATGGGCCCAATTTCCAACTGGCGAGAACATTTCACCGAGGCAGGTGATCGTGGTTATACCATGCTGCATTGGACACCGCTACAGGAACGGGGCTCAAGTGATAGCCCATACTCCATTAAGGACCAGAAACATTATGATCCCTCCATCTTTATGGGCAGTGCTGATCCAGGTACTATCGATACTCAGGTTAAGGAGATTTTGCGTGTGGCGAAAGAGGAATACGGTCTACTAAACCTGACCGATGTCGTGTTAAATCACACTGCCAGCGACAGTCCCTGGCTCATCGACCACCCAGAGGCTGGTGAGTAACAGCAACAAGGTACTGGATTTCGCAGACTAACACTGTTCCAGGGTACAGTCCGGCAAATACCCCCCATCTGACTCCTGCTTTCGAACTTGATACCGTGATCCTGGAATTTTCTTCGTCTGTTGCATCAAAGGGCCTCCCTACACAAGTTCGATCTGAAGCAGACATTGACGTGCTCATGACTGGCCTGGCTGAATCCATCAAGGCCCATAACATGTGGCAGTACTATGTCCTAGATGTCGAGCGGGAGAAAGAAGTGGTGAAAGATGCAATAAAAAATGGGAAAATTGTACCATGGAGGGGCCCCGACGTTGCTGGAAAATCTGTTGTTGCACTTGCCGAAATTGCTAAGACCTCATCCATTGTTTCAGGTCTCAATGAACTTGGTTCACGCCATGGCGCTCGCTCAGATGGCGAGATGGTAGCAGGACTCCTCAGAGCAGCGTCCGTAAACATCGTAAACGATGTCGATATCCTGGTGGAAATTTGGGGTCGCGTGGTTGATGTGATCAATGTCCCCCTCTACGAGGAGTGGGAAAAGGACACGAAGATTGCCCTAGATCATGTGAAGAATCGCCTCAAGTATACTCGACTGGATGAGAATGGCCCAAAACTTGGTGAAATTTCAGCGAGGTAAGCAACCGAAAATATATCTCAACTGTATGTGCTAATGTGGGAGCAGCTGTCCTCTTGTAGAGTCATATTTCACTCGTTTGACACCGCCTGGTCCGTTTGACCAGGGGAAGTATAGTGTCGCCAATAACGGTTGGATATGGGACGCGGACCCACTTCAGAATTTTGCCCTCCCACCGTCAAAAGCTTACCTCCGGCGCGAGGTCATTGTATGGGGCGATTGTGTGAAGCTTCGATACGGCTCGGGGCCAGCTGACAATCCATGGCTTTGGGAGCATATGATGTCCTACGTAAGGATGCTTGCAGCCACATTCGATGGCTTTCGTATCGATAATTGTCACTCAACACCGGCGCATGTCGGTGTTGCAATGCTCGATGCGGCTCGTATCGTCAATCGAGATCTTTACGTCTGTGCCGAGCTCTTTACGGGCAGCGAGGAGATGGATCTACTATTCGTGCAGAGGTTGGGCATTAACAGTCTCGTTAGGGAAGCAGGCAACGCCTGGGATCCCAAGGAATTCTCAAGAGTCATGTATAGATTCGGCCTTGGAAAACCGCTCGGTGAGTCGCACAGGTCATTATGCTATGTAATGGGTGTTGATGTACCCATTATAGGATCTATGGATAACGCATGCTTGACAAACGTGGAAGAACTCGATCCTCCCTTCGGAAAAGGTCCAACGCGTCCATGCATCGTTAGCCCTTTGAACGGCTCTGTACCTCATGCACTCATGTACGATCTCACGCATGACAACGAGTCCTATCTCGACAAACGTTCTGCAGAGCATGCACTGTCCGTCGCTGGCATTGTCACATTTGGTTACTGTGCAATTGCTTCAGTGAAAGGTTTTGATGATCTATATCCGAAGCTAATTAATCTTGTCGAGGAAAAGCGGCAATACGAGCTAACCCGGCTTGGCGAAAATTCAGGCATTGCAAGGGCAAAGAGATTGCTGAATGGCTTGCATCGGGAAATGATTCTTGGTGGATTCGAGGAGGGCCATTACTGGCAAGAGGGTGATGTAATTATGTTATTTCTTTATTTCGTGCAGGTGCTAACAGTCAACAAGTATATCCTCGTTCAACGGATGCATCCGACCACACAAAAGGGTTATCTACTCATTGCCCATACTGCATTTTCAAAGGGCTCAAAAGACCGCGGCGTCGGTGCGTGCTACTGTACGATTTACGTGACTCACTCTAACCGATTTATAGTAAACACTATAGAGTTGTCTCGCACCAGAGCTCGATTCGTATATGGCGCTTCGATCGAATTTTCATCATACGAAACGCCATATGATTCCAACACAATCCGAGGGCTTCCCGGGAAGCTGGTCGAAATTCCCGATATTGTCGTCCCACAGATATCGCATGATGTTGCGTCGTTCTGCAGGATCACAGTTCCAGACTACTTCCCGCCTGGAAGTATTCTCATTTTTGAAGTTGAAGTTCAGAACCTGGACGATGAGCTGGACACCTTCTGTGCCTCGGATGCAGACAAAGCCTTTGGCAGCCTGGACCTTGTTGATCTGAACGTTGTATTATATCGCGCTGATGGTGAAGAAAGGGATGCGACCAGCAGCGTGATTGGTGCCTATGATGTTCCAGGTTTTGTTAAGCTGACTTATTGTGGGCTGGAGGGATGGATGCATCCTCTTCGGCACATCATGAAGTCCAATGATCTTGGGCATCCACTTTGCGAAAATTTCAGGCAAGGACTTTGGGCGCTCGACTATATCTATTCAAGACTGCAAAAGTGGGTGGTTATCTGCTTATTTGCATCTGGCGTAGCTGATATCTTCTCACCAGGCAAACAGCCCAATTCCCGAAACTTGTGCAGCCCGCGCAGTGGTTTAAAGAACGGACGGAGCGTATCAAGACCTCTGTTCCTCCTTATTTACGTCCAAAGTACTTCGCCATCCTGATATCCACTGCATACAAAGCCGCTCGCCATACAGCGATCGAACAATGCTCTGAGTTCGTATATACAGGGCATGATTTCACACAGAACCTTGCGATGTGCGCCATTCAGATGCATGGAAGGGTACAGTCCGCATCCCTTGATCCGGCCAAATCTACTCCATCACTGGCAGCAGGACTGCCGCATTTCGGCACAGGATGGGCACGTTGTTGGGGCCGCGATATCTTCATCTCTTTAAGGGGGTTGTTTTTGACTACGGGCAATTTCGAGGGCGCTAGAAAACATATCCTCGCTTTTGCGTCAACTTTGAAGCACGGGTTGATTCCCAATTTATTGGAC